GTGGTGCTGGGGGATTGAACCGCGGTCCCCGATGCTCTGCCAAGCTTGTTCTAAGTAGGTGCCTTAGACCACTGAGCCATCTCTCCAGCCCCAGAATGAGTATTTTTTGATTTTTTATTTCTGAGAATTTTTTTTTTTACTGCTTTTCAGTAAATATCACTGCCTATAAAATTTGTGACTCACAAATTTTTCTAGCAAGAACCTTAGTACATTGCTGTGTTATGTTCCAGTAGTTATTATTGATTCATTAGGCTTTGAAATCAGGTTTAAAATTCAGCTTTTAAAAATATCTGTTTTGCCAAGGCATGATGGGTTATGCCTATAATCCTAGCATTTTAGGAAGCTGAGGCAGGAGGATTTCAAGTTAGAGCATGGGCAACCTATGATCCTGTCTCAAAATAAAAAGTAAAAAAAAAAGGTCCAGTGAGAAGGCCCCGTGACCAATCCTCACTACTGAAAATAAGTCCAGCAGGTTTTGAGTAATGCTTGTAGTCATGTAAGGAAGCTTCCAATCAGTCAAATAGTAGAGCATCTCTAACAGCTCGGAAAGGTCTCTCACAGGCCCCTGTAGTCTTTTTTCCAACTTCTGGCTACGAGTGATCTGGTTTCTATCCTTGAAACTTGTTTGAAGTCAAAGGTGCCCTCTGTCAAAGTAGAGTTTATCCACAATTGAATGCAGAAATTCTAACTGCACAGTTAGATGCATCTTGACAAACATGTACAGACAGGCGGTCACCATTTCAGTCAGGAAACATTGCAGCTCCACCACCCGGAAATCTTCCTTCACGTTCCTTTGTAGTCAGTCCTCCCTCCATACAACGTGTTCACTTATCCTGAGATTGTGGGGTCAAACCCAAGTCTGTGTTCAGCTTTATGTTTGATGCAGAGCTATCTCCCACCTCCTCTGACTGATTTTTCTCTTTTCTCATCATCTTTATCCTTCATGGACCAAGGTTGTGCCCCTGAGAAGAAAGGACTATCTTTTCCTCCTTTTCTGTCTCCTTCCCCAACAGTGCTGCTGACTTCCCCAGTCACCTTTGTCACCCTCAGTCTGCTGAGCTCTGTGCTATTAGACTGCCTCTGCTCATTCTGATCTTTGGCTTGTGGTGAACCATCGCCTCGTGCCTCGTGCTTCTGAGCAACTGAAGTTCATTTGATTGAATAATTCACCAATCCCAGTCATGACTGAATCTGTGGAAAACAGCGGTCTTAAGTCCTTAGAATGTTTTCTTTCCACAAGAAGAATGACTTGTGAGCCTTCCTGAGGGGGAAGCTGTAGGTTCTGAGAGCTTCACTTCACCTGGAAGATACAGAGCCTCATTATTGCTATTGCTAATGCTATGAAAAGTAACACACACTCATTTATGATGTAAATTATTTATATTTTGCAAAATCATAGAGGGTTTAGAAAATGTATGGTAGAATTTGGTATTGAATAGAAGGGGGGTTATCAGTTTTGGGACACAGGTCTTCTTCCCCAATCCAACTCTATTTCGACATGAGACACACTGAGTAATGCCAGCTCTCTCTCTCTCTCTCTCATAGAAGTCAGTCCAGTGTAGCGATGTCCCGACAGTACTGCAAGCGGCCAGAGCTGACTGCTCACGTTGGTCCCACTGTACGCCCTTCCCTGTCCTGATCTGAGCTTTTTATTTGCTTTCCATCCTGTGAATGACCTCTTAGAGGGGAAAGTAACTGTTGGCTTGGAAGACAGCAAGTCCGTTCTGAGAGCACACTGCTGTCCCCTGCCAGGCCGAGCACCTCTGGCCTCTTGTGTTGGAGTAGGCCTTTGAGGAGGTGGAGCTGAGGTACTCTGGGGAGGCCTTTTCCTCTCAGGGAGGCCTTGGCTTCTCTTGAGCAGTGTAAAATAAGCATCACTTGTGATAAATAGTATAGTGTGTTGTAACGAAATGTTAATGTTCTAACTGTATTTTGAAACTCATTTTGGTAAAAAATAGAGCAATTTGCATTTCTGTCTTCTCATTTGTAAGTCCTGTGTTTTCTAATGGTCTCAGATCGGCTCTCCATTTTAAGAGGCAGCACCTATTAAACGCTGTGAATTGAGTGAATGTGGTTAGCAAATTCGCAAGGGGGTCTTTAGACAGAAAGAAAAGCTCACCCATCTTAACCCAACTCCCACCGACCCAAAGCTGTGATTCCACTTCTTGTTTAACGATGCTTTTGTTTATACCTCTTATGCTTACTTTTTGCTTTGCTGGAATTGATTTTTTTTTCTCCTTTCATCTGTGCTGCTGGGAGATGGATGGATGGGGCTTTGTGAACAGATTCAGCATGGCACATAACTGCCCAGAGATGCATTCTCTGTATGGCTGCCTGTGCTTACTACTTTTATTTTCTGTTATTATTACTGCTTAGTAGAAGTAGATTGAGGGATATGCGTTAATTTTGCCCTTTGGAATATTAATTATGAAAGGAAAATTTGATGCTTTTAATTTCATATTCTTTTTGAGTCATCCAAGATGATAGCAAGCAACATACAAATGGTCTCGTTCAATGACTTAAATGACAGCGTTACAGGGAAACAACTAGAATATTTGCTCCCTGGAGAAATGGCTGAGTAGTTAATTAGCTGGGCTTTCTATTTGTCTGGCTAAACCATGATTTCTATTTTTTATTAGCCCTTACGAAGAGATTCTATTTTATTAATATCAAGGGGACCCAGAGGTTTCAGTGCATTATTATAATTTAATGTTCCCAAGTATCATTAATGACAGCTTGTTGAATGGTTCACCTCGAGTTTCTTCTAGGTACTGAAAGGATTATACCCTACAACACAACAGTGGCACTTTCCCTGCAATCCAGATTTAAAACCTAAGACCAGATAGATACAAACTCATCACTGTAGAGTATATTTAGCACTGGAGTGAATCTTAGACATTACCTCCTCTGGCCCGTTTACTTTCTTCTTCAAAATCAGAAAGCAGCTCCAGAGAGACACCAAGTGACAGATCCCAGACCCAGGTCTGAGTCTCTGCAGTCCTCCTTTTGCACTGTCTTCCCAGTGGGTTGGAGGCACTTTTGTGTGTGCATCTCTAGGACCATTTGCAGATATCTGATCCCTTGCCCACTGATGGGACTTTAATTTGCAAAGTAATTTCCCAAACGTTTTCTGCGTTGCCCTTTATCGCAGCCATGCTTAATGGACAGAGGAGACTCTACCATTACCGTATTTTGACCCAGCACAGCCCTTTCACTGATTGCCCCGGGCACACACCTCATTTACACATTTTCCTCCATTGTAAAATGCATTAGTGAAACCAAATTCATAGGTATGTCCTGAGAAGCAAAAGAGATTGAATGGATAATGCCATTGAAGTATGACAGAGGTTTTTATATTTAGCGCAGGGTGTACAGGGTCACACTACACAGATCGGACTCCTACTGATCCACCTGTGTTCAGCCTCCCAAGCGCTGGGATTATAGGTGCACACCATTGTGCCCAATCTCAATCGCCATCTCAGTGTACCCCAGGAGTGGGGCTGGCATGGCACACTGGGGATTAAAACCTTGCTGCTGCACTCTGCCTAAGCAGGTGCTATAATCCGCTGAGCTATCTGGCCTGCCCTGACGAAGGGTGTAATAGACTAATGGTGTAATAGTCTGAATTCTAAGGCTGCAGATCCCTGCCCTGTGTGCTGCTCTGAATGATTTCTTCCTGAGTGCAAGGCAGGGTCTGTGACGAACAAGGTCCACCCCTGAGACACTGTCTGGATGGAAGGGGTTGCACAGGTGGAGTTGGGGTCCAATCAGGTAACTTAAGAAAGATCATCCTGGGTGATACAGCCTAGGAGGAGGAGCTCTTCCTCGAGTGAGGACCTTGAAGAAGTGAGTGGCCATGCGTGTGGGACCCTGTGGCCAAGAACTGAGGGTGGTGTCCAGAAGCTGGAGGGGGGCCCAGCGGTCACTCAACATGAAAGCTGGGCTGCAGTCCCACAGCTGCTGGGAACTCTGCCAACCCCAGGACTTGGAGAGGAGCCCACATCTCAGGTAAGACCAGAGGTCCAGAGAACACTGATTTTAGCCCAGCAGGGGCCTGAGTAGAGAACCTTGCCATGGTCTACCCAGACTGCTGATCCACAGAAACTTGAGACAGCAAATTTGTGGTTATGATTTGTTCCATGGCCATAGAAAACTAATATAAATAATAATTATTATTAGCACAAATAACTATTGCTTATGATGATGATGATGATGATGATGATGATGATGATGATGATGATGAACAAGATGGTAATAATGTTAATAGTAAAATTTGAAATTAAAGCCCAGGTTTTAACTCATTTTTGCTTATAGTACAGATTGCATTTTATGACTAGAACTGTACCCCTTCTAGCCACAAGGTAGTGGGAATCCTAAAGTGTTAGCTGTCTGAATGATCTGGGAAAATCTCTGCTAGTGAGAAAGGAAGAGAAAACGGATGTTAGGTGTCTAGTTGGATGTCTGCCACTCCACCCTTCCTGGATTGTTGAAAAGTGTAATTAGCTGGGCTCTTGGCAAACACCTGCAATCCCAGCTAGGCAAGGGGGATTATAAATTTAAAGCTAGACAGGCAATTTAGTAAGATCTTTTCTTAACAAAATAAAAGAAAACAAAGCATTGTTTCCCAAGTACAACTAATGCTGGATGGTCATGTTCCTCAAACTTAGATAGGAAACTTTTGGCAGTGGCATTTGGAACTGAGTTGGAAGAAAAGCGAGAATAATGACCGCGTGGAAGTTGTTTGAAATGGAATCGCAGTGGTCACCTGCAGTTAAGATACGGGCTCAGGTTATGGCTGTGGGTGCAGGCGACTCCCAAGGGCAAATGAAGTTGGCATGTCACTAGGGCCTAGTGACTCTTGTGAGGAGGAGAGGAGCAGAGGGACAGGGTTCGTGGAGTTGAGTGTCCCAGGCCCAGGGATAAACCACAGTGATGCGGGCAGTGATGGATGTGGCAGAAGTCGGTCCTCTTGCCCAGAGTGCCCTGGACGGGATTATCTGTTTTGTGTTCATTCCATGAATTCCTGTGTCATCACTTCCTGTGAGTACAGATGTTCCCCACAGGAGCCAGGAAGGTAAAATCTCTGATTTCTCATGCACAACTCAAGTGACATCTGTCCTCTCAGGGTGCCATAAGAGGTCCAAGTGGCCATGCGCAGAGCAGGCCCATAAAGTGACTGCACAGGAAACTGGGGTCAGGCCCCTAGTTTTCTATGCATACTTTCGTTGCTCCCAGCTTGACTATGAGCAACTGACGTTGGAGGAGACAGTTTCTGTCTACTTTGTTTTATATCCTATTTGCATAGTTGGGCAGGTGTCATGTGAAAGGTGTTATACCAACTTTTGGATTGAATAATTACTAGTAACTTCAAGGAAAGCTGGGAAGAAAAGCAAATGTCATTGTGTTCAAGGAGGGTGTGTGTGTGTGTGTGTGTGTGTGTGTGTGTGTGTGTGTGTGTATCTGTACAGGCAAGCTTGGATGCAAGGGACCCATCATCCTGCCCTTGTAGCTAACAATCTCATTTTTCTTGAGGATCTATCCCTAAAGCGAAATATTATCTCTTCTCATAAAAACGTGATGTTTCCCACCAAGGTGTAAACAAAACGAACTAGCAAGATTCCGCCATTAACACACAGTGACCTCTGTCTGGTCACTTTTGCTAATGTGCCCACACGTGCGGTCAGCAGATCACATCCTGACCACCTGTGCTGAGCTGCCGGTGCGGATGCTGGCAACCCCACGGGTGTGCAAGGGCTGCAGAGAATCCTACGGAGCCCCTACTGGGTGCTGGGGAGCCCAGAGCCCGGGGCGTCCCGTTCATGTGCATGCACTCACACTCAGCTTCCTCATGCCAGTTCTGATGCAGTGGGAGCAGAGAACACAGGTCGGAGACTGGGTGGCGCTTCTGAGCCCCCTGAGATCTACAATTCTACCGATACAGAGCTCCTCTTACTTAAAGATAAGATTTATGTTAAAAGTGGACCTAGAAATTGAACTTCTTTCAGAATCAATGTGATAAGATCTAGTCATTATTTTAAGATTATGAAAACTTGGATCTCAGAAATGCACCGTGTTTAATGGGATAACACCAATGCATTTCTATTTCTTTAAACAGAAAGCATTTAAGGCTGATCTGCAAGACGTAGCCATGTGAAAATTTGACCTGTTTATGTTCACTTATAACCAGACTCTGTCTGCCTGTAAATCCCATCATAAGAAATGTCTAAAATTTCTAAGGAAAAAAGTGCTGAAACTAAGCTTCTTTTCAAAGTGTGTTTTTACATAAAGCCAAACTGCCCTGTGTGTGCGTTCTCATCAAAATGATTCCCAAATGCGTATGAAATCCACCACAGAATTGGAGGACTATTAGACAGTTTTATATCTGCCTCATAAAAATATTTCAAAACCTGTGGGAATTTTATGAAACCAGTGCTCATCAATCCATATCAGTCCCAATTTAGGGGCCCAGGAGACACATCTCAGAGCAATTAGGGTTGTTAATTTTGAAGCAAACCGTCATAGAGGGTATGCTTCATTATCTGTGAGTGATAGATTATCTAAACCTGGTCTTCCTCCAAATTCTTTCTGTACTGGTGGGTCCATGTGTGTGTGCGTGTGTGTGAGTGCGAGCATGGTAAAGAATATTTAAAATCAAGACTGATACATACATGTTTCAAATGTAAAGTTCAAGTTTCTGCCAAAAGTATCAGTCAGTACCTCCTCTCTTGCCCGCTGCTTCTCCTTGTAGAAGCAAAGCTGTTTGTAGCTCGAGCTGCCACTCCACTGCCACACACAGCGCATATGGGTGTCTGCCTCCAAATCCCTCTTTGCTCAGATGTTGTCTTCTTCCTCTGATGTCAGTATTTTCTTTTCTGTTTCCAGGTAAACATCCTCAAATGTACTTTTTTAACCATAGCTGAGCTACACTTGGCTCCTCTGCTCTGCCCCTCTAGGGCTCCTCCCCCAGCCCCAGCCTTCTCAGGGTCACCTACCTGAGGGGTCTGGACTAGCTCAGCCCTGGGAGGGTCGCGAGGCATGTGCAGTATGCAGCCTCAGGAGCAGGGTGGCACGGAGGGGAGTAAGGCACAAAGCAGAGTCAGCTCATCGTGTCAGTGCCCTCCCTCCACGTCTGACTTCTGTGGGATTCTGAGCAGCTCCTTCTTGATTTTTTCTTAAGATAGGGTCTCACTATGTAGTCCAGGCAGGCCTTGAACTTGCAACGATCCTCCTGTCTTAGCCCCCTAAGTGTTGGGATTGCGGGTGTGCACCATCATGCCCAGCCCCTAGTTCTTCTTTTTTCTTGATACTAGAGATTGAGCCCAGGGGCTTCATCCAGAGCAACATCTCCATTCCCTTTTTTACAAACCGTCTTTTTTAATTTTTTTTTTTTAACATAAGTCTTCACTAAGATGCTAATTGCCCAAGTTGGGCTCAGACTTTCAATCCTGCTACATCAGCCTCCCAGAGTGCTAGAATTGTAGTCACGCATAGCACACCCGGCTAGGATAAGGCCTTCTTAGACTCCATTGGTCTGCTTCGTAGAAGCAGCACTCCTCCACCTCTTCCTCTCCCTTCCACTTTTGGTCCTGGGACTACAGCAATGTGGGTACACCTGGTAACATTACAGCTGTCAGGACCTTCCAAGACACACACAACTCACGTGTTTGTGGTAACGCTGGGGCACACAGCATAGTACGTGCTTTCTGAGGAGTACATGATATTGGGTGATGATAACCAGCAGCTGCATGACTGGTCTATGTATCTACTATATGATCCCTGATATCATATATATTTACTATATGCTGCCTGGTCTTGTAGATAACTGAAGAGGGTAAATAGACATTTCCTTCTGTTTGTGATGGGGTGATGGGCATGTGGCAGGCGAATAAAGCCCTAAGTCCCTGGCTCAGGCTGTCTCCTCCTCCGCAGGAGCCGTGGAGCACGCAGCACATCCCAGCACTGTTTTCGGCCTTCTGCGGCCTCCTGGTTGCGTTGTCCTACCATCTGAGCAGGCAGAGCAGTGACCCATCTGTGCTTCTGTGAGTAGCCACGTCGTCCTTCTTGTCCATGCTGTGGGTGCCATTCCTGCAGCTGTGGCTGGTCCCTGAAGAGGGCAGCCCAGCGTTTGGCACCCACAGCTGCCAGTGCTATTACATGAGCTGGTCGCACACTGCTAGTGGCCTTCGGTCAGGTGAGCTCTGTGGAAATGTCCAGTTCAGGGGTCCTCTGGGTACACTGAGTCCTTGTGGAGACCAGACATTCACCTCTGAAAGGAGGTTTCTATTTTATTTCATTGCTTTTTGCTCTATTTGCTTTAAATGAAGTTATGTGTTAGAGTTTCAAAATGCATTAATATAATCTTTAAAGGGCTGGCCAAATAGCTCAGCAGATTGAAGCGCCTGCTTAGGCAGACACAGCAGCCGGGTTTAATCCCTGGTGTGCCATGCTGGCTCTCCTCCAAGGTACGCTGAAATAGTGACTGACAGTGGGCATGGTGGTGTGCACCTATAATCCCAGCTCTTGGGAGGCTGAAAACAGGCGGATCTCTAAGAGTCTGATCTCCGTAGTGAGACACTGTAGACCCTGTACTAAATAAAATTTTTAAAAAAAGACCAAAAAATACAATTTTCAGTCCCTTGAAAGTATAAACATGTCCTCAGGGACTGGAAATTCTTCATGGTGTCAGAGTGAGCTTAAGGTGTTGATGGCGCATCTTGGGCAGTGTGTCTAGACTTGAACAAGATTGTGACTCAAGATAACTGTCTGGCGGCTGGAAGCACTGCAGCATTAAGCTGCTAGGATGTGTTCAGATGAAAGGCACAGGTTATGGTGGAAGGAAGAATCAGATATGGCTGGCACAGCTTTTAGTGTCAAATGTGTCACTGGCACATTGCTTCCTGGTGGCACTTTTTGTAGGGAGGGAGCCTAGGGAGCTGCAGAAGTAAGAGGACGCTTTGCTTCTGACAGTCAGGACACCCGTTTCCCTAAGGAACTAGACTGACGTCATTAGGGTGCAGTTTAACATCCCAGCCTGCTCTTCAGAAGCCCTTGCCTGTGCACCCCTTGTTCCTGTGAATTTTGGAATGGAGACAGCACTTGGCTTTGGTTATTTGTGGGTCTGAAGTCTAAGAAGTTGTTGGTGCCTCATACTGTCCCAGGCATGTATTTTAAAAAGTAAAGCCTATGTGTTTTTCTACTTTTAGGTCCTTTATTCAGTGCAGATTATTTCCTAAATTTTTACATCAAAGCTTGGAAGAGTCGGCCACAGACCCTCTCCCTCAGAAGATGAAGGATTCGGTGGTGAGCCCCTGATATTTGCCATCCTGTTCCTGTGGGAGGGACTCACTTGTCTGCTGAGTTTGCATTCTTGGAGCTCTCATTAGATGGGCATGAGAAGGGTGGGGCACAGGTTGTGACCCAGATGTGGCACACAGGCCACTGAGCTGCCAGCGAGGTGCAGGCCTTTGGAGCACCTGAAAGGCAGATGCTGTGTGCACAGGCCATGACCTCCTTGACCCTTAAGCAGTGGCACCTTGCCTGAATATTACGACATACTAAGCTCAGTCAGTTCCATCTACTGCTGGCCCCCACCATCTGGTGGACTCAAACAGATCAAAGCTTGCCTTGTAAACATTTAGCCCACCTGCTTTCCTGAAGTGGCCTATACAAAGCTCTCTATATCCTGCGACAGCCTCACAAGTGCTTGGAATGCTCTTCCCAGGATTTTTGATTCAAGGTTGGCATAAGTGTTATCCTTGCTAGGACCTTTGGGCATTAGATGTACAGTAGTAGGGCAGGGACAGGAGTGACCATAGTGACTGGAATGCATATTGGTTAGAAGAGGAAGGAAATGATGAGGCTTCAGGCTGAAGACATTTCCAGGGAAAGGGCTCCGGGCTGCTTGACACATTCTTTGAGCACAGATGTCACCTTTGGCATCGACTTCCATTAGCACTTTGGAAAGCGGTGCTCACTGGCTTTGTAAGCTCCCATGCATTTTGAGCTTGGAGCAGCCTGATGTCTTCAGTTGATGCTTTTCTGTGTGTTTTAAGAATGGCACATAAAAGCCAGTGGTCTGCTGACTGTGTCTTCCTGCAGCCAGGAGCAGTGTCTCCCAGTGTTGTCCACAGAGCCAGTGCGTGGCTCACAGCAGTCTCTCAGCACACGCCATTGAGTTTACCCTGATGCATTACACAGCAGGCTGCCATTTCAAGGCTGTGTCCAGGACTTGTAGCCAACACGGTCATATTTTTAAAAACATAGCTTCAGCCCTGAACACCTGTGAATATGGTCACAGTTTAAGCTAAAGCTTTCAGGCTTGTCACCATAAGGGAATCAAGAGACATAGTAATTAAAAAAAAATAAATTGCTGATTGGTTTAAAACTAAAAAAAAAAAGAGAGAGAGAGAGACATACCAATTAATACGAAGAAGAGTGTACTCATGAATTTTTAAAGCAGAGACATATTTAAAATCAAGGTTGAAGGTGAAGGTGCTGGAGATGACCAGGTGGCAGCTAGGGAAGGAGAAAGACATTGCCACTCAAACATAGCACCCATGGCCTACCTGTTGCTGATGTTTATGCCGGGAGGCTTTCATGGACAGATCAAGCCAACATCTTCAGATTCAGTTCTGTAAAGCTATACAGTGGCCCCAAAGTCTCCCATGGACATCCGAGAAGAGCTATGCCTTCCCTCCCCCACAACTTCCTTGACTTTATGACTAATGGAGATGCCTTTCCACTTGCTGATTTATTGCAATAAAAAAATAAGGTATATATTTCAAATAAATATGACAAGAAAGTTGCCTAGTAGACACTGACTTCATTTTATTAGTATAATTAGATGTGATGGGTTAGGCGTCGCTTTTCATGGTTTTCCTATCTTTTGAAATGCTGTGTACAGTGTGGAGTATCTATCACTCGTTAGATACTCTAATAGGATGGCTGTGTTCATTTTCTGAAGAGTCTCTGATCTAATTATAATATTTTAATGGGGATATTCAGCTTTTACAGATTGGTATATTACGCCTTTTGTACACAGAGCAAGTACAAAATTATGCTCTTTCTTGACTCTTATGGTGCTTTTCTGTCGTTCTCTCTGGTTCTCTTATTTTCTGTCTGTCTGTCTCTTTCCCCGATTTTTGATTTGTACACAAAAGCCCTGGGACGCCTCCTTAGATGGCAGTTTTCTAGCCCTCTTTGGCCTTTTGAATCTCAAGGCCAGAACAGAGCCTGGGGACCTATATTATGACCAGAGTACCCTTCAGGGGCTTCTGCACAGGATGTCCACAGACTCCAGAAATGATCTTGAAGAGATGTGAACTCATTACCTTGCACATTTCCACACGTGCGTAAGGGTGTGTATGCATCAAGTTCATAACCAACACTCCACAGTTAGGAGGGCAGAAACTTGCTCTCAGGCATGCCTCTGCCCTTTTCCACCTGCCCCGTCCATGTGGTCCATCAGTTTTCACCCTCCCTCCCTCCCTCATCTTCACCTGGGCCAATGTTCTGCACCATGGCTGTATCAACCACTTCCATTCTATCTGTTTAACTTCATTGCTAGAAACTCAAACTTTTAAAACAAAAGTCTCCTAATTTTTATGTGTAAAATTCAACCAGCTTCTTCTAAACTATTGGTTGTAAAAATCTAGATTTTCCCAGTTCCCATGCTGTCCAAACCTTGTGCATTTGGAGTTTTGGAACTGGACAAATGCCATGGTGCATTAGAAATGTGTAGTACACTAGGAAGAATATGTTTTTTGGCTAAACATATATTAACTTACCATTAAAATAGGGAGCAAAATATTAACATCACTGAAGAGTGCTTTACAAATTTTGGCCAGTGCATGACAGGAAAGAAGAAAAAAAGGTGGATTATATTATTATACATAAATAGAATGCACAGAGAAACTTATTAAAATCAATAATGACTAATGAGAAGATTTATAAATAGCATGAGAAAATTTAGAAACCCAAGAATATTTTAACATAGCAGAAATAATCTTAGAAAATAGAATCCAGCTCACAATGCAACAAATACATGAATTGGTAGGGGGAGTGGTTTTAACAAGCAGTGTCCTGAATAAAGGAAATGGCAGCGGTCTATTAAAATGTAAATGAAGCCTTCGATAAGTGGCCATGAATAGATCTCGCCTGATTTTGGACAGGAAGGCTGAGATTTATAAAATGCCAATTCTTTTAAAATAAATGTATAGGTTTAATATTGTTCAAAATGGTTCCAAAGGAATTAAATTCACAGTGTTAGCAAGAGATTCTAAGGTTTATATAGAAGAATAGCTGTTAATAGTTTAAAACAACTTGAAAGGAAAAAATAAGAAAAGGAAACTTAGCACTTTGAAATAACAGTGCTGTTATAAAGACTGAATAATAAGAGAAAACTAGGAGACCCATCCAAGATTAAAGAATGGGATTAGTGGATCAGAGAAACACAGCAAGGAGACAAGTTATTTAGATGAATGTATTATGTGAAAATTAAATGTCACAATCAGGAATTGATTATTTAATGTATGGTGCTCAGCAGTGGGAGAGAAAAGAGAATTTTAGGTGTTGATCCCTCACCAGATACCCGTGTAAATCAGAGAGGGATTAAAGAGTTTTTAGAAAACAGAAGGGAGAGGGAGCGCAGGAGAAATCAAACAGGACCTTTCTGTTTCTGGCATCATGACAGATCAATTATCATAGCCAAACTCTCTGCTGATTAAAAGCAAAAATCAAAAATCTGATTAAAAGACCAAAAAGTCCATCTTAAGTGAGGGGGGAAAAGACCCTGACAAAACAATAAGAAGCTATCAGGCAAGAATGTGAAGCAACAGGGGCCCTGAGGAGGAGGCTGGAAGCTGCCGCCAGTGGGCAGAAGAATGCAGGGAGGCCGCAGGACCTGAGCCAGGGCTCGGCTCTCCCACTGCAGAGAGCACAAACTAAAGCCAGGCCTGCCCAGGCGCGGTGTCCAGGGCCACCCGGGACACTGCACAGCCACGCTCTCGAGGTGAGGACCGGCCCTAAGACGCCAGCCGCAGGTCCTCAGCGCAGGAGTGAAGGGAGCAGTGGCGGGGGCTGGGGGAGCGCACAGCAGGCTAGCACGGTGCGGGCCGGCCGCCTGGCACCGAGGACAGTGAGCCGGAGCTGCGCGCAGGAATTGACAATCCCATCCCAGGAGCCACAGACAGGACGCCCGGGTCAAGAGGAAGCCTGCAGGCTTGAGGGCAGTTGTTTGATACTGTCTCACGTTTTGGAAAGAAAGTCAATGCCACGCTAGAATTCCACACCCAGTCAAAGTAAATATCATGACCAGAACAAAATTAAAATGTTGTAGGCAAACAGAAGCTGAGAGACTGCCTGTAAATATAATTCTGAAGGATAGTTTTCAACAGAAAGCGAGCTTGGATGGATGACCTGATTTGCCAGAATGAACAAAGAGAAGAGCCAGAAGGTAGTTGTAAGTCTAAATACGTATTCACTGCACAAACCATAATAACAGTGTGTTGTTGGCTTAAAGTAGTTTAGTTAGGATGGATATCAGTGTGGCTACTTCTCCAAAAACTAAAGCTAGACCTACCGCCTGATCCAGCTGCACCGCACTTTGTGTACACCTGAAAAAAAGTCAGCGCGCCGGGGGGTTTCCCGCGTACCTGTACGTACCGCTGCGCGATTCACAGCGGCCAAGACACGGAGACACCATTTCTGATCTTCTTTTTCACTGATCAGCTGATGGACACCTAGGCTGTCGCCATGTCTGTAACGGCGGGATATTATTGCAGGCTAAAGAAGAACAAAATCTTATCATTTGCAGGAAAATTGCCTGGAACTGGAGCTTGTTGTGTTAAACAAAATAAACCCTACTCCGAAATTCCAGGATCACCTATTTTCTCTCGTATGCAGAATCAAAATAAAGATGACTGAAAAGTGAAGGGAGACTGAGAGAAGAGGAAGAAGTCAGGGGCAGGGCGGAGGGAAGAGCGGGCGGCGAGGCGCGGAGCAACCCGGTACGCCGCGCTGCAACCTGCTGTCGTGTGTACTAACAACGCAGTGAAATAGCGCTGAAGATAACTTGATTGCAACAGTAGCAGGTTCGACGGGAAGAGATGTGGACTGTGAATACGTAAATTCTTAGTGATTTCTGGGAGAAGAATGAAAATACCGATTAACTTGACAGATGAGTTTGCATGTCAGAATGTTTCAGCTATTAAAGGAATAGAGTCAGCGTGTAGCTTTCATCTCTGTACAGAGGGGAAAAGATGATTAAAAAGTACATGTTATTTCTCAATAACAAAACAGTATTGCACGCCCACGTCCCAGTGTACTTAAAAGCCATTTCCCAGCAGGTTATGCAACTAAATAGGAGAAAATAAATCCTGAGAACATGGAGAATCCTTTATTACAGAGGAGACAACCTTTATGATAACGAAAATTCAAATTCATTATGAGTGTACAAGTTCATAAATGATAACTTCACTTTTGATTTATCATTTGAAATCATACAGAAGAGAGATTTAAAAAAGAAGAAGCAAGGCTCAGAAAGGAAAACACGTGCTTCCAGTGGTGATCCCTGGGCTGCACAGCCACTAACAAGGCCTTTGGCAGGACTGCGGTGCAGCAGGGACACACATGCCACCCTCAGGACACGCATGTCACCCTCAGGAATACAGAACAGCTGCTTTAGGAAGCAGATGGACATTTCTTAGAAAGTTCAGCCTCAGGGCTGGCAAGATAGCTCAGTGGACTAAGCGCCTACTTAGGCAAGTGCAGGGACCAACGTTTGATCCTGGGCATCACCTGCTGCATCTGCCCTGCACCTCGGTGAGCTGAGCCTGCCACAGAAACCAGGCATGGTGGCACACGCCTGTAATTCCAGTGCTGGGCAAGCTGAAAACAGAAGGATCACTAAGAGTCTGAGTGGTATAGTGAGACCCTGTACCAAATACATACAAAAACCAGAAAGTTCTGTCTCAACCTGCCAGGTAACACAACCATTCTACTTGTAGGTATTTACACAAGAAAAAGGAAAGCGCAGGTACAGAAACATGTACATTAATATTTGTAGCAGCTTTATTTATGATGATAAAACTGGGAATAAGCCCAAATGTCTATCTGTAGGGGGAGAAATAAATACACAGTGGTATGTCCATACAAAGGAATACTACCCAGCAATGAAAAGGGATGAACTATTGATACAGACAACACTGATAAATCTCAGAGTACTTCTACTGAATGAAAGTAGCCATACCCTAAAGGAGCACATATTCGTGATCCCATTTATGTGACATTCTTGAAAATGAAAACAAGCTGTAGTAATTGAGCAGACAAGTGGCCCCAGGAGGACAGAGCATAGAGAGGAGCTGGGGAGGGAACCTTGGGGCATGACGAATGTGCTGAAGTTTCTTAATTGTGATAATGGTTTTGTGGAGCTGTGTATATGTCAACTCATCAAACTATGCATTTTAAAATACATGAGCGTTTATGTCAATTATATCTTAACAAAGGTATTTAAAAGTTGTAAAATAGAAATGAAATGAATGGAAAGAACAGGTAACCAAGAGAAAAAGGCTGTAGTGATGGTTTGGTTGTATTTATGAGGAACACTGACAGAGATCACGGTGGAATTCTGATACATTATTCAACTATGAAAAAAAATTCAAATTTAGAAAGGTCCCCACTCCTACCCACCCCCACCCCACCCCCTGCCATGGTCCCTTTAACCAGGAGGCTGGTCAGTTGCAGTTGCCACAATTTGAAATTAAAATATTTGGGAAAATGCTACTCTTCCTTTTTGATGAACATTCAGTCGTTTTTATATAACATGAAGAAAGCCTTGCCAACAAAAAATAGAGAGAAATTAAAATATCTCTGTAGCCTGAGGATGCAGTGAAGTAAAGACTTCCCTGGGAATGGCCTGATCTTTTGTCAGTGTTGGAAATCAGAACAGTGCCTGCATTTCGGTCATTACTAACTGTCATATTTTGATGAAAAAAATGTCTGATCCCAAACAGTTCATGGACTCCCGAATCTAAAACCAGTGATTTTTCATGCCGTAAAGTCAGATCGTCTAAAATAAGACCTAAATCTAAAATAAATCTCAACTACAAATCTAAATTAAGATCTCAAACTTTGATTCTTCTTATATTGAGTACTTGTACGTGAACTGTGAACTTTTGGGAGGAAATTTAGTACAATGTTAGCAGGTAACTGGTGAGTCAGCGGGAGGAACGCGTCCTTGCACTGAACGAGGGCTGATGTAAGCAGGCCTTGTGGGCTGTTTCATCCCCCAAGGCTGTCAGGGCCGTCACTGCTCCATGTAACGTGCCCCTGACTTCTTCCAGGCCCCAGCTGTTACTATGGGCAGTAAGCCAGCAACATAGCATATAGGAACTGCATGTTTTAATTTTTAAAAGCCAAGAAAATAAAAATTTGGGACACAGATATATCTGGTGTGCAATTTTCTGGGGATAACACCTGAAAGATCTGCTTAAGAAGGGTAATTCCTTTTCAGTAGAAGAAGGGGAGGTATAAGCTTACTGGCTTCAGAATTTTCAGAAAACAGTACAACAGCTTAAAACGATCAATACTTGTGCATTGTAGCTAATCTGCCTTCATTGAGAGAAGGGGACTGATGGTCACCTGGGTCCCTTTTAGATCTGCCAGTCAGCAGTATTATGTCCCCCGAGGCTTGCAGGCCATTCTGCATTGATCTGCTCTTATGGCAGCTGTGGCTCTAACTTTGCTTTCCCCCAAGTCCTTCTCATGCCACAGTTTTGTGTAGTGGAAAATACTTTGCAAGTTATAGGATGCTGCATTGTCTGCATATGGTTTGTGAGTCCTGCATGTGTATTTCTGTAATTTGGAAGTGGCCTCTTTTCACACTCACTGGAGAATTAAAATGTAAAATCTGGTCTGGTGTGAAATGGAAGAAATGTGTCTGAGGCTTCTGTTTGGTGTTCCTAGGCTGTGGGCATGTCAAAGGCTAAGCCTGACACCAAGGAGAAGCTCCTTGGTCAGACGCTGTAGGTCCAGGTCCCTCTGGGGAGCGTTCTAGGCCTCTGTGTGCAGTCTGCGTTTATGGAGAAGAGCCCTATGCCTCCCGCTGTGTGACAGCATGCCTTCCCTCTATGGTTCACACTCATCCCCCAGAGTAGATTTCCTTTCCCCTTCTGCCTCAGTCTCCCTGAATTCCAACAGGAACTAGTAAAAGCACAGGTGAGTGGCATGTCCAGAGTGTGCCCAGGACACATGATAGGCTGGAGGAGCCGTGTCTGGAGGGCCGGAGTTCTGCTGTAGAATTCACCCTGTGACACAGAGTCGCTGAGAGAAGTGGAAAATAGCTGTTTCACTCTTCTCTTTGCAGAAAGACATCCTGCGATCAGATCTTGTCGTCTGCTCGGTGGTCGCTGTCCTCTCCTTTGCTGTCAGCGCGAGCACTGTGTTCCTGTCACTGAGAGTATGTGTCTCCTCAGCTGTGTTTCTTACCTCCTCATTGTCTCCTTGGTGACTGGGCTGGTGTGGGGCTGTATGGCACGGCAGACCAGCTGGGGAGTGGAGACAGAGTGCCAGGTGTGGGCCAAGGAGCGTGCCGTGCACTGGGAGCAGTGTCCAGGAGGAACCTGGCCCACACTGTGGGCTTCTCTACCAGCTGGACAGGTGCTGACTGCGCAGGAGTGATGGCGCACCCCCACGGAGCTCTGTTGGTGGTGGAAAGCCTGGCTAGTGGAGCACCTCCATGAGTCACAAGGTTACTGTTGCAGGGCTGGGACAGAAGCCACAGAGCCGCAGGACTACAGAGCAGTGTTTGAGGGGAGGAAACCACAGGCAGAGGGCCCCTTGGGGCTTCTGGCTTGTTGCACTTGTGACGGTCTCTGTTTCTACACTAAAGTATGGGACGTTTATGAACTCTCCTTTCCATGAGGAAGAAGCCTATTAGCTAAATTTGTTATTCCTGTTTTTATAAGAAGTGTAAAAATGTGGGGCTGGGGAGATGGCTCAGTGGAATAAGTGCTTCCCTGGCAAGCACGAGGACCTGAGTTCAATCCCCAGTTCTGCAAAAAAAAAAAGAAAAAGAAAAAGAAAAAGAAATGTAAAAATGTATTCCAGCGCTCAGAATTCTCCCAGCTTGTCCTTCCACAGGCCAGTTTCCCACTGCTGAGAGGTTCTCATTGTGTGAATCTTGTTATGATGGACAGGAAAGATGTTCAGAGTCTGAGCGTTCTTTAAGAGTGGAGTGGTGACACACACCTGTAATCCCAGCACAGGGGGGTGCTGAAGCAGGAGGATTGCAAGTTGAGTTCAGCCTTTGCACTTTAGAGACTTGTGAGACCCTGTGTCAAAAAATAGTCTGAGACCATAGCTCAGAACAAAGGCCCTGGTTCCGTCCCTGGTGCTGGCAAGGGGGCGGGGCAGTGGTGCTGTGCATTGTCCGAGGGTGCCCCTCCCCAGCCCCTGAGCTACATAATGGGATCTCGCCCTTCTCTCTTGCAGCCCTTTCTCAGCGTGGTGCTGTTCGCCCTGGCCGGCACTGTGGGCCTCCTCACTCACCACCTGCTCCCTCAGCTCCGCAAGCACCACCCCTGGATGTGGGTCTCTCACCCCGTGCTGAAGAGCAAAGAGTATCAGCAGCGGGATGTGACAGGTCAGTAATACGGCCCTGCCCAGGAGAAGAGGGTGGCCCACTGTGGCCTGCAGGGTGTGCGCAGCGGCTCACAGGTTTGTCCTCTGGAAAGAGCACTGACCCTGCCCATGAGACGTGCAAATTAAAGACAAAGAGGATGAGAGGTAGTGTTCTGGGTATCCTAGCCCGCCAGGGCAAGACAGCTGAAGGGGGTGAGTAGGAAGATACGGCAAGACAACTAATTTCTGTTGTGCAGCCTTGAAGATTACACTTCTGTCTTACTCTGACAGGTTTGAGAAGAGCACTGCCCATCTTCCCGCCACACTTCACACGGTACTGGGGCTGGAGCGCAGGCTGGCCCTTAGCTGCTAGGCCCAGGGTCCCTGGTTCCCATGAGCTGGCTTGCTTTATCTAGAGGATACCTGTATCTGTACTGAGTTGACTTTGCAGTTCCTCGGAGGGTAGTAGTAGTATGGTAATTCTGATGACTTCAGAACTCTGGGTAAGACATCAATTTCTTCCAGATAAGGATTCTCTTGGAAATTTCACCATGCGGTCTCCTTTGCTCTGCAGTTCTGCTATGTGCTTAAGTAGACAGGAGACAGACTGACTTAGTCCTGTTTTTAAACAGCAGTTACTGTTCACAGATGTAACCATGCTGTTTAATGCTGCCAGACTGTACAGGTTGATTGGTTGCCTGCTGTAACTTTTTGTTGTGATGTGAGTCATCAGGTTGTTTCTATGCCCAGGCACATGATCTATGAGGGACCCAGGGTTGTAGGCTTAGAGATGCTGCCAGACCATGATTCACAGCATAGATGTATTAAAGTGATAAAAGGGGAAGAGGGAAAAATAATTTTTAAAAAATAAAGATACAAAAAAGATATTGGAAGTGCTTCCAAGATAGAGCATGTCTTTAAGGTTCATTTCTGGGTGGTAGCAGGAGCTGCCTAAGTGAGACGCAGCCCAGGTGGAAAACAGGGGATGGTTGGAGGAATAATTAAGACTCACAGGCCTGGTGCTCACATGCGGAGAGAAGTACAGGAAGGGGAGCCTGAGGTGCTCTGCTAGCAGAGTCTTACAATTCTCACTCCTGGAACAAGGCTCAGCTTAAAGATCAAGCTGGAAAATATGTTTTTAATGTTCTGTACAGTTTCATACACTACTTAAATGAAAATTATTATTATTGTACAAAAGGAGAGAAGACAAATTCTGAGTGAGTGCCATTTGTAATGAGATGTGCAGGTCGCTTGGAGAGAAAGCCTTCCCCCAGCAGGTGTCCATTGAGGCTCTCACAGAGAAGAACTATTTCCTACGCTGTTGAGGTGATGCTTCCCATTCAGTTTTCAACTTAAGATGCCTGAATTCTGGAGAAATTAGTGGAGTGTTTTGGGGTATTATTTTGACATCATTGCTAAGTATTTAGTGGAGATTTGAGGTAAGAAGCATTAGCTCTGAGAAGGACATATCTACATGTTCTTTATACAAATGCATACTTGTACTTTGAAGTGGATCTATGCCCAGATCTTTCCCTGTACCTATATGTGTACCTTCATCTTTGTGGCTTATTTATTTTAGTGATATTGGGGATTGAGCTGAGGACCTTTGTTCTGAGCTGCATCCCCAATCCCACCCTTTTTTAATTTTAGGACTAGGTCGTGCTAAATTGCCCAGGCTAGGCTTGAACTTGTGTCCCTCTTGCCTCAGTCTCTCAGAGTGCTGGTACTATAGGCATCTGCCACCATGTCCAGCTATACCTACACCCTTGCATTGACCTATACTCATGCTTACATTCACCCCTTTACCTATTCCTATGTCCACATGTACACCCTGAACTAGCCCAGCCAACCGTACCTTTACCTCTCTGTTTTTTATACCTACATAAATATGTGCCTTCAGTGAAGAAAGAGAACTCACCAGGAGATGTCATGCTGGCTCACACAGGTTTGAGCACAAGCTTCATAGATGCTCCTCCCTGGCCATGTAAGCTGTCTACAAGCAGGCTAAGATACAGCCAAGAATCACAGGTTTGACAGATTTAGTGCAGAAGGAAAAATAGATTCTATTTCAAAATTATGTGTGTTGGAAGGAAAACCCAAAAATCCAAATGCACAAAATATAAACTATGGAATTGTGAAGCACTTCAAGGATGCTATGCTGTGGCACCCTTGTCCTGAGCATCCTTGCCTCCTTCTCCCAGCCTCTTCCTTTTAGGGATTTCACTAGCAACAAACTGACACAGGAAACTCAGGCTGTCCCCAAGCCTCTGATACGTAGACTGTGGTCATTCTTTCCACAGGAGTGCTTAAACATTGCCTCTGAAAAAGAGGGAAGAATAGGCAGGGTTAGGAAGTGTGCACTGCTCCTAGCCATGCCCATGCAGACATCACTACCTGAGAACAGAGCCATGGACTTTGCCAGTGGCAGACTTTACTAATCAATTTCCATTAGCACATATGCTGCCCTGTCTCAGTTTAATTCAATCGCACTGGGTTACACAGTAGAGATAGAAGCCTAGAGAAGTTTCAAAATGTAACTTGGGTCCCACCAATCTAGCCAGTGAGTACCTAGAACCTGGTTGTAGTGTCAAGGCACAGTCCTTCTGCTGCCCATGCTGCCCTGAGCGTGGTGGGAAGAACAGGCATAACCTGCAGGTGGTTTTCCTTCTCAGGCTGTTTTGCTGACCTTAGCTGCAGAGGAGCCATGTGCCTGCACTAGAGTAGGTCCTGTAATGTCTGCGCCGTGTGCTCACGCTGATGCCACCAGACTTCCCTCCCTGAGTTGAAACAGACCCCTCCACTGTGAGCCTTGAGCACTTTTGGGCTTTCCCACCCATGCACCACACTTTCCCTTCTTTCTGTTCCCCTTGCTTGGAATGCAGTTCCTTCAGTTCCCCAAACTAATAGCAAGCTACTCCGGAAATCCTCTTAAGCACGCAAGCCTGCCTAGCCTCTTGCTGTTCCCTGAGCCTCCCTCTCATGTACTCCACTGCCTGTGGCTGCTGTGTCTGAGAGCATAGTGAGATCCCCATCTCACTCGTGCTCGTCCTCCAGAGCTCACGGCCATGCTGGCACAGAGGCAGCCTTCCGGGGATGCTTTGCCAAACTGCATTGAAACAGCACCGACCCGCCTCTACTCTCTGGAGCGCACACTGGACTCTGTGCCTGTACTTCTTTCCAGCTTGCTTCCCCATTCTGCCTGTTTCATGCATCTACTTCTAAGTATACTGTGGAGATGCCAAACTAATTGTTATAAAATTCAGACTATGATGAAATGGAACTGACTATCACACCTGTTGAAGACTACAGTACATCAAAACATTTTCATCTGTCTAGTTCGTTATCTTAGAGACCTTGTCCCCTCCTGAGGCTAGTGCTTCTTCACCTGTACACTGTATTTGAGCTACATGAACAAGATTCTATCACATGGAGTAAAGTTGACCAGTCAAAGGAATTGTGGTTCCGTGTGTGCAGCTATGTGAATACGTGTGAAGTTGCACTTTTAAAACAAAATTTGCTGATTCACAGTAAAGATTAGGAATTTGGATTCTGCTAAGACTGGCCGCAGACAGCACCTTATTAATCAAGCAGAGAATTTTCTAGACTAAATGCTAAAGGAGCCCTGTGTGTTTTAAAAATAAAGCAAATCTACTTTGCTGCATGATGGGGTGATTTTGGCCAATGAGTTCATCGATTGACTTCTGTCATAAAAGAATTTAGAACTTTTGAAAATTTTTTTATTCAAGAATTTTGCAAGATAATATTATTTTAAAAAAGAAAATAATAGGATTTTCACATACTTCTCCAAGATAAAATTTCCATAATATGATACTAATGGGCTTTCAAAATTCAGTGAAACAGAAGCGATCTGATTCAAAGATCTACTCTTAGCATGCAAGTGGATTTTAACGGAGTTCCAAGAGAGAATGAAGCCATCACTAGAATTCATTGTTTCCTTGTTTGTTCTCTCCAGAAATGCTTATGACTGTACAATTCTGTCATCTAAAAGGTCACTGATTTCCCACATGATGTCACATCCGAGAACTGGTGACATGGGAGAGGCCTTGAGATGGCAGAGCCACAATCTAGTCAATCTGTGTTCCTGCTGCAGTATGGGTGATGTGGGGCAGGGAGCCATACCCAGTCCTACAGCAGATACAGAGACGCAGAGGGCTTGGGCCCTACTGTGTGCTTATAGTTTTGTTATTATTCTTGTTTTGTTGTTTTAATTTCTTGAGATACAGTCTCGCTGTGCAGTCTAGCTTGGCTTTAAACTCGCAGTTAGCCCTCGCTAGCCTCGAGCTCGTGGCAGTCCTCCTGCTGTAGCCTCCAGAGTACTGGGATTACAGGTGTGCACCACCATGCCCGGCTGTACTGTTGTTTTATTTTTCATTGCCTAAGGTTTTCTAATTGATTGGCTAGGCACATAAACTAAAACATATACGGATTTGTGTACCTGGTATATAGTAGGTCTTTAATAAATATTGGTTGCAAGCAGATGAATGCTGAGTGCATTGTAAATTCTCCTACAGAAGGGCTCCCCATGGGCAGACTCTGCAGGTGCCAGCTGGGATCCAGGGCCTGTGTGCACCCGACCAAGTAGTATGAAAGAGCTTGTGGTTCCTGAACAGCGTATGCTATTATTTTTGGATGCTTAGGAAAAATGAATAAAAGGTTATCTAAATTACAAAACACATCACTTGAGAATCTTATATAAATTGTAATTGTAAAAAAATTCTCTACTTCCCTAATGAGCCCCGAATTTGTATTTCTTCAGTGAGATTTACTTTGCATTTTAGCACATGGTGGCCATCCATTTGTGGATCGAATGGTCTGCGTGTGACAGATGTGGTTCTGAAAGACACTGCTTTCTCGAGTGTACTTTTTGTTTGTGTCAAAGTTAACACAGTGTTAGAAATCAAATAGAACAAGTTGTAACAAAAAGCAGCAGCCTCCGTCAGCACAGACCACCTTCCAGCTCTGACTCCTCCTCTGTCAGGAAAAATCACCTCTGACTCCTTG